AAACACAAGTAATCATAGCAAAAAACAGACCACAGGGATTATATCAAACTAAGCAGCTTCTGTACTGCAAAACAAGCAACCAACAAAGTGAAGAGACAACCCACAGAATGGGAGCCAATATTTGCAGACTATGCATCTGAGACGGGATTTATAACTAGAAATATAAGAAGCTCACATAACTCAATAAAACAAACAATTTAACTAAAAAATGAGCAAAAGACTTGAACAGACATTTCTCCACAAACAAAACATATAAATGACCATCATGTGTGTGAAAAAGTGTTCAGTATCACTCATCATCAGAGAAATGCAAATTAAAATCACAATGAATTTTCATCTCACCCCATTATAATGGCTTTTATCTGCAATACAGGCAAAACAAGATGGTAGAGAAAGGAGAACCCTGGTACCTCGTTGGTAGGAATGTAAATGAGTACAGCCATTATGGAGAAAAGTATGGAAGTTCTTAAGAAACTAAAAAGAGGCTGGGCATGGTGGCTCATGCCTGTAATCCCAGCATTATGGCTCTAGGGTCACAAGACATGGGACAGACATGGGATTTCCTCACCTGTAACCGAAACGGACAATGGGTCACTCGGGTCTGACCACTCATAGGGAGAGTCACGGTAAGAGCCGAAGCATCTGTAGGTCCCTCCGTGGGTGGCAGGGCCCAGAAGGAAGTTGGCCTGGAAAGTTCCATTGACACGAGACACTGCAGGGAGCCTAAGTTCCTTGGCCTCCCCCTCCCTGGATAGATGGTACATGTCAAACGAGGTCTGGGAGCTGCAGGACAGGGTCATGTTCTCTCCTGCCTGAACTGTGGGGCCCGGCTGGGCTGAGAGAGAAGGTTTCTCATATAGACCTGGAAGGAGAAGAGGCAGTTTCCTCAGGGAGGTTCTTCCTTGTCACAGCTCCCCTCACACCTGAGCTGAGAACTCACTCCCCTGCTCTATGGCCTAATGCTCTCTGTCACCCTCTAGCCCCTTCTCTCTTCATGTCTATTTTCTCCTTCTGCCTTGTCAGTCTCTCTAGGTCTCTGACCTCACTTCCCCACCCCAAGGAATGTTTCCCCTCTTGGCATGGTTTTATTCTTTCTGACCCTGCTTGGATTGTTGACTTGATCTTCCTTTTTCTTTAATTCTGAGTTTCTCACTTTCTCTCCTGTTCACAACTTTCTGCATATTTCTATTATCTATCGATCTATTTATCTATTTGGTGTCTATCTACAAATTATCTATCTATCATCTATATTTATGTATCATCTATCTATCTCTGTATCTATCAATTGTCTATCTAGCTATCTATCCATCAATCACCTATGTGTTATCTATATCTATGTATCATCTATCTCTCTCTCTGTCTGCCTCTATATCTCTATGTATTATCTGTCTATCTTCATCATCATTATCTCTATGTATCATCTATCAATCAATCCATCAATCATCATCTATGTACCTACAACCTATCTATTATCTACCATCTACCTATTATCATCTAACTATATCTATCTGTCCATCTCTCAGCTATCTCTCTCCATCTCCCTGTCTTTCTCTGCCTCTCATTCTCTCTAGTTCTCTTTGAAATCTCTGCAATCGATCCCCACATCTCCATCTTTGTCTCTCCTTGTGCCTCTCCCTCAGGGCCCTAATTTTAGGGATTTCTCTGCTCCCTTCCATCATTCTCTCCACTCCTCTGCCCTCTTTCCTCTCTCTTTATGTGTCTGTGAGTCTCTCAATCTCCTTCCTCTGGATCATTCTGTGTGTTTATGTCTTTGCTTTTTGGTGTCCCTGATTTCTCTCTGTGTCTCTCAGGCATCCTATCATATGTAGTTATTTGGAATATGAGCCTCAGAATCCAGTCTGGGGACCCCAAGTACACACAGCATACAGGGGTTGGCGTTCTGGGGCCATGATATCCTGGGACGATGACTTTTCACTGCACGAAAGGCAGAGGTGTCAGAATCAACATGGCGTCTGTAGGCGCCACAAGGCCTAAGGCCACAGGGGCTGATTCAGGACAGAAATATGGGTGTCCTTGGGTTCTCCTGGTAGAGAACACTTTGTGGAGGGAAACAGAAATGAAATTTCTAACCTGTACCAGGTATCTGAGCAAAGTCAGCATGGAGGGACACCTCTCTCTGGGACATGTCTGTCTGAGTGTCCCCTTTAACTCTTTCTCTCTTTTCTACCTCCCTGTATGGCCCCTGTGTCTGTCCTCTGTTATGACACCTGGTCTGTACTTGTGTCTCCTGTTTCTCTGTCTCTGTTGGTACAGACCTCCCCAAGTCAGTCTCTTTCCATAAGAATCCCACGCTCATCTTCCTCATGACCACCCGGGGCTTCCAAGTCCTGGATCATTCACTCTGTGTCCCAGTGACAATGAGAAGAATGTCCGGACACTCTCACCTGTGATCACGATGTCCAGGGGGTCACTGGGAGCTGACAACACATAGGGGGAGTGAGTGATAGAACCGTAGCATCTGTAGGTCCCTGGAAGGTCAGATGTTGTGGGACCCATGGAATAGTTGGCCTGGGAACTCCCACCATGGAGCTCTCCAACAAGGTGCAAGGGCTCCTCAAAGGTCACCTCACGGTGCAGAAAGAAGTGCTCAAACACGGTATCTGAGGAACATTGTAGGATGACTGTCTCTCCTGATTTCACCAGGGGACCTGGGAGGGCCAGGAGGGAAGGTTTTTTGTGGACTCCTAGAAAGAGAGGTTGTGAGTTTAGAAGGTGTCTCCCTTTGTCATCATATCCATGGCACCTGGAATGAGTGAGGGTTCCCCTCCCGGCTATCTGTGTCTCTCCTCCCTCTCTGTGTCTCCCTGTCTTTTATCCCCTGGTGCAGGTCCCTCCATCTGTGTCCCTCCCTCTTCTCTGTCCGTCTGTCTCTAGTAGTCTCGGACGCCCTTCCCACTGGGCTCAGCCTCATCCCTTAGGCTGTTGTATCTGGTTCCCACTCATCTCTTTCCTCCTGTCTATGTGGGGCTGGAAGAGGAACCACGGCCGGCTGCATGTCCAGGCTCTTAGCAGCCTGGTTCAATCTGTTTTGGACAAACTGGAGTCTCTGGCAGGAGGTATGAACTGATCAGTAAGGCAGGCACCAGTGTCCACACTCCTTGTTCCTGGTGGGGATTGGGAGCCTCTCCTGTCACGCCTGTGCCTTCTCCATGGCCTCAGCTTCCACAGGGTGGCTCCTGGTGCTGGTTCCAGGAGCATCGACCCCTCCCTATGTGGATGGAGCCTGGTGGTGGCATCAGCATCTCGCCCTTCCTGATCTCGGGGTTGCCAACCTTCTCCTTGTTTGGTTTCTTTAATTAATTGATTAATTAATTAATTTTTGACACAGAGTGTCACTTTTTCACCCAGGCTGGAGTGTAGTGGTGTGGTCTTGGCTCACTGCAACTTTCTCCCGGATTCAAGAGACTGAATCCAGTCGTTGGTTTACTCGCGCCCACCACCATGCCCGGCTATCGTTGTTTGGTTTCTTAACTTGCCCTTGACCATGTTCCTGTGTTGGTTTCCTGTTGCTGTGGCAGAAAATTATCCCAAACATGGTGGCAGGAGAGAATACACTGACCCCTTCCACTTTTAGAGTCAGAAATTGGATCCAGTTCTCCCTGTGCTAAGATCAAGGCGTCTACAGAACTGTGTTCCCTCTGGAGACTCCGCAGAGCGGTTCTCTTGACTTCTCCAGCCCGTAGAACCACCTGCCATTGTGGCTCGTGGCCTTCCTCCTCCTTCAAAGCCCACAGTGGCTGGTGGAGTCACCCACGACGCTGCTCTAATCCCCACTCTCCTCCTCCTCCTCCTCTCATTTGGTGCCTTGTGATTACACTGAGCCCAGTGGGACAGTCCAGGCCGTCTCCCCATCTCAAGGTCAACTCATCAACAACCAGAGCTCCGTCTTCCCCTTCAGTCCCCTGCCCTATAGCATAAAGAGTCACAGGCTCCAGGGATTAGAATGTAGCGATATTGGGGACAGTTATTCTTCCCATCACAGCACCCATTTCCCTGTATTCAATCCCCCTTTACCCCAAAGACAGTCAGGTCCTGGGTGATGGGACCCTGGTGGACACTCCCAGCAGAAGCTCTGGGATTCAGGAGGTGGGACAAGGAGAAGCCCAGACAGGAGCCCTCTGACCTGTGACCATGATCGCCAGGGGGTCACTGAGTGCCGACCACTCAGTGGGGGAGTGCGGGTATGAACCCCGACATCTGTAGGTCCCTGCGTGTGCCGGGGTCACAGGGCCCATGAGGAAGCTCTCCTGGAGTATTCTGCTGTGGAAGACGGGAACGTGGCTTCTGTCGTCTTTGTACAGAGTGAAGTTGGTAAAGTTGTAAAGGCCACGACGATAGTAACACCGAAGGGTCACGTGTCCTCCCTGAGGCACCACAGCGCTGGGTTGGGCAGACAGGGAGGTCTTGTCCTGACCACCTGGGGGAGAAGGAGGCGCCACCTTAGAGAGGAGGATGTGGAGTCGCCCCTCCCTCCCTGTGCTCAGAAGATTCTTCCCCTTTCCATGTTTCTAAGGCTTCTACCACACCTGGGTGTCCAGGGCTACAGGAAGAACCTATGCAGCATGGACATGGCGCCTCCCTACAACAAAGGTGTCAGCTGAGAACTTTGAACAAGTGCTTAATAAGGGACTCTTATTAGATTTTAACACTTCAAGATTACTCACATAAAACAATACAAAGTAGAGACGGCATGGAGGGCATGTCCTTTGTGAATGGAACATCAGCCAGTGCATGAACTGAGTCCCTATCAGAGATTTGGAATGTCAGGGTCATGGCTGTGGTTTCCCCACCTCTTCTGGTAGAATGACAGCAGCCACACTGCAACCCTGACCGACAGGCAAACACTGGTGTGAGTTACACCTTTGTCTTCAGAGGACCTGCTGTTCCTAGCACTGCTTCCCTCCCTTCCTCAGCCGCTGACACCACTTCCTCCCTGCACACCTCAGCTTGGAGCACCCCGAGCTCACCCCGGTCTTCACAGAGCTTGACTCAGCCAAGAGTAAGAAAGGCCAGAGAGGACGAGGTCAGAAGTGTGAGCCGAGCACCCCAGGGTCCCCCCTTCTTAGTTAATGAGAGACTGTCCGACAGGACTTCCCTCCTGTTTCAGGAAAATCCTCTTAGGTGGGGAGATGACACCCTAAGGTTTGGGGAAGGACTCACCCGTGTGTGGACAGGCCCTCTGGACCAAGAAGAACCCTGGAAAGAAAGATCATGATGGATGATCCATCTGCAGGCAAACCAGGGCCTCCCCTGCTGCCCCCACGGGGCTGTGCGTCTGGGCAGCCAGGCCCTTGCTGGGCTGAAGGTAAACTCAGCCTGGCTGCCTACCTGCCCCGGCAAGAGGGATCTCAGCTGTGCAGAGACCCAGCCTCCTGATCCAGATCTGCACCCCAGGCCTAGATCTACACATCAGGCCCACATGTCCACTCCATGCTGATATCTCTACTCCAGGCCCATATCTCTGCTCCAAACCCATATCTCCCCTCCAGGCCCATATCTCCGCTCCAGGCCCATATCTCCACTCCAAACCCATATCTACCCTCCAGGCCCATATCTCTACCCCAGACCCATATCTCCACTCCAGGATCATATCTCCACTCCAGACCCATATCTCCACTCCAGACCTAGATCGCTACCCCAGGCCCAGATCTCCACTCCAGGTCAATATCTCCACTCCGGGCCCAGATCTCCAATCCAGACTTGTATCTCCACTGCAGGCCCATATCTCTAATCCAGACCCAGATCTCCACCCCAGACCCATATCTCCACTCCAGGCCCATATCTCCACCCCAGACCTATATCTCCACTCCAGGCCCATATCTCCACTCCAGGCCCAAATCTCCACTCCAGGCCCAGATATCCACTCCAGGATCATATCTCCACTCCAGGATCATATCTCCACTCCAAGCCCATATCTCCACTCTAGGCCCATATCTCCACTCCAGGCCCAGATCTCCACTCCAGGCCCATAC